GTTGGCTGGTGCAGTGTAGGTCAGACTCATCTACAGTCCTGCCAAATTTCATGTTGACCGGTGCAGCTGTTTTTGTGCTACGGTTGACCAAAAATCACTGAAAAATAAAAATAAAAAAACAGAACGAAAACAATGTGACTCCTGCTTACGCTTCGCGTGCGGGGGTCATAATTAAAGGTCTAGCATTGCTTCATGCTGAGTTTTACACAAAGATCATCTTTTGAGGGGAAATTATGAAGTTACTGTTTTGCCTTGAAATCTTGCCCTAAATTTGACTGAGTTATAATTGTTTTTGTGTTGACTGGTGTTAAAACGCTGTAGCAGTCATCCTGAATCGTTTGACTCCTAAAGTTAAGTTATATACGATCAAACATTTCTGACCCCCAATTTACACTACATGCGTTCCGTCTCCGCTCCGCTGCGGTCCGACCTCCGCAGCAAATACACACCCATTATAATCAATGAGAGTGTTTACACTGGCTGTGCAGGGCAGCGGTGAGCGGACGGTGATCCGTCAAAATTAGAACAGATCCTATTTTTACCGGATATTGGAGCAGTACCGGAGTCAATTTTAAAGACTGCGTCGCACCAACAAGAAAAGAAACGAGCACAACATCCGTATTTTCAAAATAAGACACTTTCAGGCTGGATAATTTGTCGGAATAATGTCGAAATTGCAGCTATATTAATAAATATATGGATATATTTCTAAACAAATGCTATCAGAATGTATCGTTCTGTTTGGGAAGCAGATGGAAACATGTAGCATGAAGCATATGTGTACACACATGATACACGTGGATTTTATTTTGAAATCAGAAGTTTCAGAAAGCCGACAGTTTCAACATAGATACCAATAGCTTTTATATATCAATGTTTTCAGCTGTGTTTGGAGTTCGTCTTTTACAGAATTAATTATTTTTTGCTCTGACTTCCACACTTATCACTGAATTTATCGCGCGATCTCCTTCCTGCACGTCTGTCGGACCGGACCGGAGCGGAGTGGAGGTAGTGTAAACTGGACTTGAAACGCACAGCTGCAACCTGCACACCACAGCGGAGCGGAGACGCATGTAGTATAAAGCCGGGGTGAGAGATTCAGAAAAGTCCAGTTTATGAGATATTTTGTTGACAAACACAAACATACCTATAGGCTTTAGCAGTGGGCATGATTTAAAAGGTTGTAAGACAACAAAACCTATTCTCAAAGATACAGTGTATACTGTTTTCTTGAATAAATGTGATTTTATTCCACTTTCATAGTCTTCACTTTGTAATTTAAAAAAATTCTTCCCACATTTATGACTTTAGATCATTTTATCAGGACTGTTTTTAATCTAAAATGTTTTTGTTGTTTCAGATGAAGGTGTTTACACGTATGACTGTCGTTGTGGAGGAGGCTTTTTGGTCTCGCAGGAGGAGGTGGAGGAGGAAACGCTCCTCTTGTTGTCCGACCATGATGATGAAGAAATGCTCAGAAAAAAGACGGGGGTTCTTGTTTGCTGTGACACATGTTCCCTCGGTATCTGGGTCACATGGAGCTTAAACAAAAAGACTGAATCGTTTAAATAAATGTTTGGAAACTTTTCACTTTTAAAACTGTCTGTGCTTCGGAAAATATGTAAATAAAATCAAACTTTATGGATTTTATCATGTTTTTCATGTTTGTGAGAGATACTGTAAATATTTCAGAGCTGAGCTATAAACCTGCATCTTTAACACTGAGGGTCAGAATCTTAAATTAAGATTCAATGTATGTTGTAATAATGGTCAGCGACACTGTGGAACAGCGGTTAGAGCTGTAGCTTCACAGCAGGAAGGTTATTCATGCCCTGGTTTTTACATGTTTCATTACATGTGTAGGTTTTCTCCAGGTATTTTGGTTTCCTCAAACAGACCTACTGTAAATGTTGGGATCATTAGTGACTTTAAATTGTCCCCAGTTAGTGAGAAATGATTGTTGGGTTTGTTTGCCCAGGGTTTACAGCTGGACATATATCAGCCCCCTGCACGGAAAGGCAATTATTATTTATTTCTTTTACTAACTGTTATTTAACCAGGCAAATCCCGTTGAGATCACATCTCTAAAAATCAGTTAAAAAAATCAATAAATATATTTTTTATCAATAAAAAAAAAGAGATCACATCCCTTTACAAGGGAGGCCTGTGCCTGAGGGCAACCTATTGTAGTACGTTTGAGTTGTGGGGGAAACTGGAGTACCCAGAGAAAACCCACACAAACACGAGGAGAACATGTAAACTCCGCACAGAAAGACTCCAGGTCTGAACCATGGATCCAACCCAGGACCTTCTTGTTGTGAGGCAAAAAAAAAAAAAAAAAAAAAAAAAAAAAAAAAAAAAA